GTCGGCGCCGCTGTCGGCGCCGAGTCGGCCCGCAGGCGCCAGCACGGGCGCCACTGCCGCGGCGCCGATCGCTGCGACAGCTGCGCGGCAACAGCGGCCAGGCCGCAAGCGGCGTGCACGGCCAGGACGGCCCCGCGAGGCCTCCACGGCACAGCAACGCCCATCCGTCGCCCGCGGCATCGGCGCGCAGCGACCCGACGGGGCTGAGCCGGCGATGGGAAGTTGAGCCGAGCAGGGAGGAGGGAACAGGAGGAGTAGGGACGAAGAGCTGAGGAGGAGAAGGAGGAGGAGGATCAGGAGGAGGAGGGGGAGGCTGTGACAGGCTGTGGTTGTTGTGTATATGTCAACGTACCCTCCTCCTGCGCCTCTCTCTCACCTCCCCGCCCTGCGGCCGTGTCGGATGGCGGGGCCCCCTTGAGTTGTGTGGCGCGCCGACAGCGGGCGCGCGCGAACCCCCGTAAAAGGAAAGAGAACGTGCTCCCTTTCTCTCTCTCTCTCTCTTTCGGCATGGTTCCCCCCAATTCGCACACCGCGTCTCTGTACTCCACACAGCTACGACAGTGCAGGCCACAGTGGAGGAGGAACACGGCGACGAGGAGGACGACGACGACGACGAGGACGAGGACGAGGACGGTGACGAGGACGAGGACGAGGAGGATGACGAGGAGGAGGAGGAGGACGAGGAAAAGGAAGTAGGGAGTCGGAGGTGACGGGGGATCGGGGTTCTCCCCCGCCTGTGGGTTGTGGTCGGCCCACACGCCGAGCGACACATCCCCCCCATCGCCGCAGGTTCGTCGGTCCACATGACGTTCCCTGGCTTGCGACGGGCATTCCTCTTCCTCCTCCTCCCCTTTTTCTTCCTTCTCCTCCTCCTCCTCCTTCTCCTCCTTCCCTGCCTCCTCTTCCTCCTCGTCCTCCTCCTCCGTTTCCTTCTCCTCCCGCCCTTCCTGCTCCTCCTTCTCCTCCTCCCCTGCCTCCTCCTCTCCTTCTCCTCCTGGCTCTTCCTCCTTTCCTTCCTCCTTCTCATTATCCTCCTCCTCCTCCTCCTCCTCCTCCTCCTCCTCCTCCTCCTCCTCTTCCCCATCGCCCTCATGTTCCTCCTCCTCCTCCTCCTCTCCTCTCTCCTCCTTCCCCTTCCAGCTGGCTATTCCTCTTCTTCCTCCTGATCCTCCTCTTGCTCGTCCTCCTCCTCCTCCTCCTCATTATCCTCCTCCTCCGCTTCCCTCCTCCCTCCTCCTTTTCCTCTTCCTCCTCCTCCTCCTCCTCCTCCTCCTTCTCCTCCTCGTTATTATCATGTTTTCCTCCTCTTTATAATCCTCCTCCTCCTCCTCCTCCTCCACGTCCTTCTCCTCATCATCATCGCCCTGCTGTTCCTCCTCCTCCTTCTCGTCCTGGCTTTTTCTTGTCCTGCTTTTCCTCCTCCTCTGCCTCATCCCCTCCTCCTCCTCCGCATTATCCTCCCCCTCCTTCTCCTCCTGCTTCTCTTTAGTCGCTTTTGCCCGCTTCGAGCTGAGGTAGGAGTTCAGCCGAACGCCGGGCTTGAGGAAGGCAGCGGTAATTTTGACCTCCAGGCCCTGGAGCGCTGATTCGGCGGGATGATGTGGAAACCGCTCTCAAAAGTGTGAAGGCTCGGGCTGGCCAAGGGGTTGATCAGTTATCGCCTACAGATATGCAGCGGCTTCCACGCGAGGAGTTTATTCAGCTTGTGCTTTTGCTTCAAGCCCGCGAGGCCAGGCGTACATGGCCGTGGCAAGTCCTCCTCGTCATACGTAGGCTCCTGGGGAAGAAGTCTGGAGGCGACAGGGTGATCGGGCTGATTACCATGATCACCAGAACATGGTCATCGGCTCGTGAAGAAGACGTTCGCCTCTGGACCTCATCGTCAGAGCCCGCGTGGGACGCCGCGATCCGAGGCAACTCAGCTCTCCGCGATTCGGCGAAGCCTGTACCCGAGCTTCACAAGATGAAGCTTGCATGATAATCGGCATCGATTTCGGCACAGGGCTTATCGATGTCGAGATTTTCTGTTTGTGCGATTCCATGTCTTGGAGGGCCCTCGTCGATTCGTCGCTTCGTCTGCGGTTCCATACCACCTTTCTCGGTATTGCGCTACAAGATTGTATTGCCCCGCGTACGCTAGCCCAAGATGGGTGTTGTTTTTTTTCTTGCGCGTTTCAACCTACTCGGAGCATCGTCCAGGGGGTTCGGAGCGGCACCTGGTTTGGGAGGTGCATGGTTTATTACATCTTGGCCACAATCACCACTGTACACGTTGGGGCGTCTATGAGGATATGGGTGGACGGCGTGTATCAGAGGGTGGTCGGATCTAGGAAGGTGGTGCGTGTTCAACTGCTCGGTTGCCTCCGGGACACATGCGACGAACTCCAGAATGCTGGGCTTAGAGGTGCGTCCAAGAGTGCTTTAATGTGTCCAAATCTAGTGACGGGAGGCACGTGGCAGCTAAGTTCAAGAAGCTGGGCGACGAGGTCCAGAGCGCTTTGCAAGCATAGTACGTTGGGTGGACCTTGGTGCTGGCCGTCCTGCCCGTTCCTCCAGGCGCAAGCGAGTTGACAAAACAACGGCGATTACTGTTAAAATGCGCATGTTTGCCAGAGCTTCCAAGAGATACCACGTCACGGGCAGATTGGAACGAGCAGGGGCACAGGCAGCTGGCTCTTACGGGCATCAAGTTCAGGGCTCAGTTGGTTCTCATTGTGTCGGATTTCGCGGGCGGTTGGGGCCTAGGGGCTGCCATGGGCTCCAAGCAGAAGGGGCGTTGTCTTATTACGTTGTTGGACTTACGGAACCCTGGGGCCGACCCGTTCCTGAAGCTTCCCAGGGACAGTATGAAGCTGTGGTTTGACACCTGGTTTGGGTCCCCGCACCTACGCTCTATGGTCCGCCAAGCTTGGCCTCAGGTTGTTCAGACGCTACAACATACATTGCCCATATAATTTTCTCGTCGAGTTCGGGGCCCCATGGGCGCTCTGATCGGGCACATGCTCGAAGTTGGGTGGACACCGGCATCCCCGACGGCGTGGACTACTCCAGGTGACGGCGGTGCTCATTGGATTTTCTCCGAAAGCGGGTTCACACGTTTTGAAGACACCGCCGAAGTGCTTGACGAGTTCCAACCGTCTTTTCAAGATCTTGCATGGGCACGTGCTGCTCGACAGTATCGTGCCGAAGGGTCCGCCAATGGAATCGACAATGTGAGCTATCGTCGTTTTATACGGAACCTTCGGCAAAGTCAGCACGGACATCGGCTTGCTGAGGCAATGATCAATGCGGCTACTGGAGGGCTTGGCCTAGGCAGCGAGTCGTCGACGAAACTCGCCATCGTATTAGTTCGCAAGCAATGTCTTCCTTGTCGACAGCAGCCCGAAACACCGATGCATCGCATATGGCTGCGCAGTGCCAACAGCGACGAACAGCAATCGGAGCATCTCGTTCCTCGAGCGATTTCCTTTGGAGAAAGCGAGGCATGTTTCTGGTTTCGAGGGTTTCTTCCTCGCGCTTGGACAGCAGTGCCGCCAGCCAGCTCCGAACCAGCGCGGTCAGCTGTCGGCTTTAACGAACCCCACGAGCTGGGAGAGACCACGCTCGGGATCGGCACGTTTGGGAACCCAGTTACTATTTTCGGCGGCGCGCCAGGAGGCTCGAGAGCCAACTTTCAGGCGTGTAGGAGTTGCTGCAGTCACCGTGGCCTCGTGCGACCCAGCCGTCGTTCAGGCAGGGGTTATTGGGCCTCTCCCTGGTCGAAGGCAGAGGGTTCCCCGAGGAGAACTACACGGACTCACGTTGGCCCTCCAGCACTCTCAAGGTCCCATGCTTTTCGCCGCGGACAATCCTGGAGTTTGCGATGGTTGGCATAGTGGGCTGCATGAGCGGCCATGTGGGGATACTATGGGCACTTGGAATGCTATTCGCACCGTCGTACACGACACGGGCCGCGACACGTCGCTGATCTCCGTGCGCAAAAGTTGACTCCCACCCCATCCCCCATCCAAGTCATTCGGAAGACTATGTCGAGGTTCTTGGTTGTTGGCGACATTGTTGTCGACGAGCTCGCGGGATTCGCAGCAGAACGTTGTCGGTTGGATATCCATCATCGCACGCGTGTGTGGCAGATTGAAAGGGATGCCCTCCTCGTCCGACGTCGTCTACTTCGTGTCGCCCTCGAGGTTTCTCAGTTCGAGTCCAAGGCCAAGGCAGATCGACCTCGGCTCCGAGGCGGAGGCCGCGGCGCTGGCGGTGGCGGCCAGGACGGGCCTACCGTGGAGCCGCCGCCGCCTCCCCCCTTCCTCCTCCTCCTTCCCTTGCTGTCCTTTCTGTTACCCATTCTTCCCACGGCCTCGGGCCGAACGGTCGGTGCTGCCTAGTGCGCCGCGGGTCTGCCCCGTTCGACACGGTCACGCAGCGGCGGAGGACCCCGTGTTTCGAGCTCGCGTCGGGAGGCCAAGGTGTCTTGCATCTACCTGTCGGTAAATCCTTGCATCCTTGCGGGGGCTGGGCGGGGCCCCAACACAATGTGGCGTTCGCGTTGACCTGAAGGTTTGGCAGTCTACATCGCATGGCTTCTACAGCACCGAACTCCACTCGAAAGGTTGGAAAACATTGCGCAGGGCTTGCAAGCGACGCCAGACGAGAATATCTCCGACGGTTAGAGCGCTGCCTATGGCCTAAGGCGTTTACCCGAGCTCAACAGGCAGCGAGGGCCTCGGGTGTGAGTGATTTGGGGATATCACCTCGTGATGGTGTCCACTCCACTCCGCTCATCCTCTCCTCCTCCTTCCCCTCCTCCTGCTTCTCATCCTCCTCCTCCCTTTCCTCCCCCCCCTCTTCCTCCTCTCCCCCTCCTCCCCTCCTCCTCCTCCTCCTCCTCCCCCTCCTCCTCCTCCTCCTCCTCCTCCCCCTCCCCCCCCTATTCCCCGCAGAAACAACAACCACAACAGCTCCCCCCTCAACCAGTCGCCGCCCCCCCCCCCTTCCCCGAAGAGGCGGCGGGAGATCCAGGCCGCTGGTTGTCCAGTTCCAGGTGCCCGTGGTGCAACTCGAGGCAGCCGGCGACGACGACCTCGCACGACGACCGCGGGACGTTTGACGACGACGACGACGACGACGACGACGACGACGACGACGGTCGATGGCGGCCTTAGTCGACGGACGACGAAAACGCAGACGCCGCAACCGCGTCTTGGGGGCCCCTTGGGCCGTCATGGGGCCATTTTCGAGGCCTCGTGGGCGATCTTGGGGCGATCTCGGGAGCCGCTAGGGACGTTTTGGGCCGTCGGGGTGTCGGAAAAAATGCCCCAATCCTGCAAAAACCTTCTGGAAAATCAGTTATCTTCAGGTCCTCCTGGGGGACCTCTTGGAGGCCTCCTGGGCCGTCTGGGACGCCTCTTGGGGGACTCTTGGGCCGTCTTGGGTCAGCTTCTGAGCCCATCTTAGGCCGTCATGGGTGCATCTTGGCCGTCTTGAAGGCATCGTGGGACCATTTTGAGCCGTTTGGGAGGCCACCTTGGCCGTTTCGGGGGCCTCTTGGGGCCCTCTTGGGGCCGTCTTGGGGGCCTCTTGGGCCGTCACGGGGCCATCTTGGAGGAAGCCTCGTGGGCGATCTTGGGGAGCCGCCGGGATGCAAAAAAACACAAACAAATTCCAAAATCTTTCAAACACTTGTAGTGAACATCCATGCCTTTGGTCTCTTCGGGGAGGACCTCTTGGAGGTTTCTTGGGCCGTCTTGGAGGCCTGTTGTGGGCATCTTGGGCCGTCTTGGGCCATCCTGAGCCCATCTTAGGCCGTCTTGGGTGTATCTTGGGCTGTCTTGGAGGCATATTTGGGCCATTTGAGCCGTTTGGGAGGCCATCTTGGCAGTTTTGGAGGTCTCTTGGGGCCCTCCTGGGGCCGTCTTGGGGGCCTCTTGGGTCGTCATGGGGCCATCCTGGGGGCCTCGTGGGTGATCTTGGAGCGAAATTGGGGGCTTCTTGGGTTGTCTTGAGCCGCTGGAATGCCGAGAAGAAGAAAACCCACAATCCGTCAAAAAACCTAAGGAACATCCATGATCTTGGTCTCTTCGGGCCCTCCTGGAGGACATATTGGAGGCCTCTGGGGCCGTGTTGGGCTGTCTGATGGTTTTTTTGTGCGAACTTGGAGGCATTTTGGATTCTCATGGGCCGTCATGGAGGCCATCTTGGGCCATCTTGGGCGAACCTGGAGGCCATCTTGGAGCCGTCTGGAGCCGAAAAACCCTTTGCAACCACGTGTTACGCATCTCTGGCGGGACGGGCCGAAACCCCAGAGGGAGTTCTTTCGGAAAAGAACCAAAACCAGAAGCGAAAGGGTCTAGCACGCCTGGCGCCTTTGTGATGAATCAGCAGGGGGCAGCGGATCGAAGACGCCTACGTCGAATCACCGCCGCCCCCTGCCTTTTTGGAAGCGCCTGCGTGGCCGAAAGTTGGGTTTGAGCTTGGCCAAGCTATCGGGCAACGCGTTCCCTGAGTGGGTTTCGAAAGCTCTCGGGGAACGCGGTGTCCGGCGAGCTATCGGACCAGGTGGTTTCCGAGGTTTCGAGCTTCCTGGAGGACGTCTTCGAGGGTTCGTGGGCCGTCTGGGAGGCCTCTTGCGGGCCTGTTGGGCAGTCTAAGGCCATCTTGAGGCCATCTGGGGCCGTCTTGGGTGCATCTTGGGGCCATCTTCGCTGTCTTGGAGGCCTTCTTGGCCGTCTTGGAGGCATCTTGGAGGCCATCTCGGCCGTCTTGGAGGCCATCTTCGGCGTCTTCGGGGCCATCTTGGCCGTCTTGGGCTCCTCTTGGGGCCCTCTTGGGGGCCTCTTGGGCTGTCATGGGGGCCTCTTGGGCCGTCTTGGGCCGTCGGAGAGCTGATAAGAAGAAGATGCCAAAATCCTTCAACAACTTGCGGGAATGCATGATTGGTGCCCTTTCAGGCCTTCCTGGAGGACGTCTTGGAGGCCTCTTAGGGGCCTCGGGCCAGTCTTAGGCCATCTTGGAGCTATCTTGGGCCGTCTTGGAGGCTTCTTGGACGAACTTGAAGGCATCTTGGATTCTCTGGCCGTCTTGGAAACCATCTTGGACCATCTCTAGCGACTTGGAGGCTATCTTGGACGCCATCTTGGGCCAACGTGGCCATCTTGGAGGCCATCTTGAGCCGTCTTGGAGAATTGTTTGCGGTCGTTGAGGTGGTTTGGGTTTTTTCTTTTGGGACCTTGGCGGGATCGGCCGAAGCCCCGGGGTGAGTTCTTTTGGAAAAGAACCAAACCCAAAATCGAAAGGAAAGCCAACACGGGGCGGCGGATGACGGAAAGAGCGAGGTACGAGCGAGAGACGTTTCGCAGGGGGCGAAGCTCTTATAGGGAGGGGGTTTGGGGGAGGGGATTAGCGGGGGAACAAAATTCTAGTTGCCTTCGCGCCTCGTTTTTTCCCAGCCCTCCGTGGTTGGGTATTATTTTTGAATAGAGCATTGTGGTCGCATCCCTCCTTATCCCGCCTCCCGCCTCCTCCTGCCCTCTCTTCGCCGACGTTTGGGGCTGCGATCTGCGAAACTGGTCCTGCGGAGTGAGGCACCGCGCAGATCTGAGCGGGACCTCACCGTCCTTGGGGGGCTGCGATCTGCGAAATTGTCGCCACTTTCGAGGGCTGCTGTTGGGTCCTGCGGAGTGAGGCACCGCGCAGATCTGAGCGGGACCTCGCCGTCCCTGGGGAGCTGCGATCTGCGAAATTGTCGCCACTTTCGAGGGCTGCTGTTGGGTCCTGCGGAGTGAGGGACCGCGCAGATCTGATCGGGACCTCGCCGTCCCTGGGGAGCTGCGATCTGCGAAATTGTCGCCACTTTCGAGGGCTGCTGGTGGGTCCTGCGGAGTGAGGCACCGCGCAGATCTGAGCGGGACCATTTTGTCCTGCGGAGTGAGGCACCGCGCAGATCTGAGCGGGACCTCGCCGTCCCTGGGGGGCTGCGATCTGCGAAATTGTCGCCACTTTCGAGGCGGGCCCCAAGACGGCCCAAGAGGCGCCCAAGACGGCCCAAAAGGGCCCCAAGACGGCCCCAGAAGGGGGACCACGAACCCGAAAGTCTAGCTTGTCGCCCCAAGAAGCTCCCAGGAGGCCCCCACAGACCCCCAAGAAGCCTCAACAGGCTCCCAAGAGGCCCCCAAAGGGGCTCAAAAAGGCCCGCAATAGGACCCCCAAGAAGGCTCAGAGAAGCCAAATAAAGAGCGATCGGTCCCGCAAAATGCTCTTCACACCAAGACTCCCAAGAGCGAACGGTGACGTAAACAGGCTGATAAGACCAAGGCTCCCAGCAGGGAGCGATGACGTAACGAGTTCCTGACACCAAGGCCCAGCCAAGGCTCAGAAACGGGCGGCAACGCAACAATCTCTGAACACCAAGGCTCCCAAGAGCGAGGGGTGACGTAACCAGCTCTCAACGCCAAGGCTCCCAGTACAAAGGGTGGTGTGAGTAATTTCGGTCCAGTTGTTGCAGCGCTCTTTCCGTTTCCGTGCGGGGCCAGGTTTAATAGCCGTTTTTGGCAGTTTTCCATAGGGTGTTTGTGTATTCTTCGGATTCCCAAGACGGCCCAAGAGCGCTCCAAGAGAGCCTAAGACCGCCCAAGACAGCCCAAGAGGCCCCCAAGAGGCGCCCAAGAGGCGTCCCAAGAGGGCCCCAAGAGGCCAAACTCATTGATTTTCCTCTGGGAAACGTATATTTTTAGCATGTACGGCTTTTCGGCTTTCACGGCGTTGACGACGGCCCAAGAGGCCCCCAAGACCGCCCCAAGACGGCCCAAGAGGCTCCCAAGAGGCTCCCAAAACGGCCCAAGAGGGCGCCAAGACGGCCCAAGAGGCGCCCAAGACGGCCCAAGAGGGCCCAAAGACGGCCCCAAGAGGGGGACCACGAACCGAAAAGTCTAGCCTTTCGCCCCAAGACGCTTCCAGGAGGCCCCAAGAGCCCCCCAAGAAGTCCCAAGAGGCCCCCAAGAGGCGTCCCAAGAGGCCACCAGGAGGCCAAAATCATTGAGTTCCTATGGGAAAATGTGTTATTTAGCATACAAGGCTTTTCGGCTTTCACGGCGTTGACGACGGTCCAAGAGGCCCCCAAGACTGCCCCAAGACGGCCCAAGAGGCTCCTAAGAGGCTCCCAAAACGGTCCAAGAGGGCGCCAAGACGGCCCTAGAGGCGCCCCAGACGGCCCAAGAGGGCCCCAAGAGGGGGACCACGAAGCGAAAGTCTAGCCTTTCGCCCCAAGACGCTCCCAGGAGGCCCCCAGAGACCCCAAGAAGCCCCAAGAGGCCCCCAAGAGGTTCCCAAGAGGCTTCCAAAAGGGCCCGAAAAGGGCCCCAATAGGATTCCCAAGAAGGCCCAGAGACGCCAAATAAAGAGCGATCGGTAACGCAAAAAGCTCTTCACATCAAGGCTCCCAAGAGCAAACGGTGACGTAAACAATCTGATAAGACCAAGGCTCCCAGCAGAGAGCGATGACGTAACGAGTTCCTGACACCAAGGCCCAGCCAAGGCTCAGGAACGGGCGGCAACGCAACAATCTCTGAACACCAAGGCTCCCAAGAGCGAGGGGTGACGTAACAAGCTCTCAACGCCAAGGCTCCCGGTACGAACGGTGGTGTGAGTAATTTCGGTTTCTGTTTCTGAAGCGCTCTTTCCGTTTCTGTGCCGGGCCAGGTAACGGAAAGAGCGAGGTACCAGCGATGACGTTGTGTGATGGGCGAAGCCTCTTAAGGGGGGGTTCCAGGGGGGGCGTACGGGGAGTGGAAGGGTTTAATGGCTGTTTTGGGCTGTTTCCTCTGGGTTTTGCATGATCTTCGGGTTTCCCCCCCAAGACCGCCCAAGAGCGCTCCAAGAGAGCCCAAGACCGCCCAAGACGGCCCAAGACGGCCTCCAAGAGGCGCCCAAGGGGCGTCCGAAGAGGGCCCGTAGAAGCCAAACTCATTGATTTTCCTCTGGGAAACGTATATTTTTAGCATATACAGCTTTTCGGTTTTCACGGCGTTGACGACGGCCCAAGAGGCCCCCAAGACCGCCCCAAGACGG